AAAATAATATTTATCAACGAGAAACAAGAGCTGTATTCTATTTAAAAAAAATTAGAGATCCCTACGAAAATTGTGAGAGCAATGTTAACATTAGTGTAGAAATATCGGACGTGACTTTTTTACTTTTGTGTTTTGTTTCAAATGTTTTTGAAAATCCTTCGAATATTAGGTTTTCGTATGTATTTTGAATGTCAAGCACTTTTAAAATTTTGTTCCAAAACAATCCTCAGTGATTACTACCCTATAAAAATATACTATGCTGTAAAAAAAGTACTAACCTAGCAATATATTCAGTTTCTCAAAAGTAAGTCGGACAACCGAGTCATTTGGAATGATGTTATCAAACTTCAACGTTTCTTCGTCGTTATCATCTTGTACCTAGAAAAAAACTCACGTGTTACCACATAAATAATTCGAAGATGGAAAATCTCACTGTTCTTGCGAAAGATTTGTCTTTTTTGGAATCCGGGATTAAAATGAGAACCACGTCCTCATCAAGTTTGATACAGTCGTGAACGTATTCGTAATCGCTGAGAAAGGTAGTCGGAACCAAATACTCATTACTCCCGCAAACTTTCAGAGTATATTGAGTGGAAGTGGGAGCATCCAGACCGTAAGTTAACTGGAGAGTGACATGCTCTACGCTGGAATTCACTGAAATAACATTAAATCAATTTGAGAATAGAGATTTTTCTCTATAAACATGAAATGTTTTGAATAATTAGATCAAGAGTTTCAAAAATGCAATAACATACCATCACACGTGAAGCTAATCGGCTGATTGAAGTTGGCTCCTTCAAAATTCGGATGTACTTGTAATTTGATACTGAGGCCTTCGCTGTACTTGTAGTTCACCATGGGACTTATCACTAGCCCCATATTGGTGTCAGGGTCGTTATACCGGAACTGTTCTGAAATATAAAGGCACATTGTAAGTGAATTTTCCCTAGAGTATTTTCGGTTAATCTTTTCAATATTTTTCAGGAATTTCATATCAATTTATATTATATTATACAATGGAAGTCCGAACTGATGAAATACACCACGAAACATTGTCAACCATCTTCAAACAAACGTTTGATACGGAAAGTTTCAAAATTCTGAGCGATAAATTGTCATTTTTAGAGCTTCCATCTAAATAAGAGAAGTTTGTCGGAGTCATATATGACGAATATAACTTGGGGTGCCACGGGGTTCAGTTCTCGGCCCTTTGCTGTTGTTTTTATATGTAAACGATTTGCCACAGTATCTAGACGATGTTCATATAAAAATGTATGCTGATGACATGACGATATTGGGACACAATTTAGATAAATTTGAAACTGAATTAGAGGCGGTCGTAAAACAATTTTCAGCTTGGTGTCAAAGAACGAAACTAATGCTAATTCAATTTTCCTACTGGGAAGGTTCTTTCAATGGTGCTAACCTAAGTTTTTTCATGTGACTGTCAAAAATCTCCAATTCCATAATTTTTATCCTCAAAAATGAGCTGTTAGCCGTGGTCCAATGGAGAGATTGGTTCCAAATGTCACACATAACTGCGATTGATTTCTTTAGTAATAGTTGGTAGCCATGCATTTCGAACTCCAAGCTAGTAGACTCATAAATGGGTCTACCATCAATAAAGAGCGTAACAACAACAAACAAGTCGCAATTACCGCTGCAAATGTTCATCACAGTTATGATCAAAAGTTTGAAGTCGGTCCTTTAAATAGACCTTGGCTACCTATACTGGATGACCACAGTTTCCATTTGACTTCCCGCCGTAAAGGCTTGAAACTTCAGTTTTTTACTTATTCAATAGTAAAGATAGTGAGTTTTGTAATACCGGAAAACTTTTTCCTAGAATCATAATCTTTGGATTATTATAGAAGGGACCTAATTTTCGTGGGTTACATGTTACATTAACCAATCTGCTTTCATAATGACGTTTTTCTCAGTTACTGCTTCGATGTATTTTGTACATTTAAGCTTTCTAACTGAAAATAAAAATTCAAGATCCGGCGTGGTATTAGCCGGGGACTAATGAATAAGAAAATCAAATGATAAAATCAGTAACATACAGGGTGGGTTATCGAAAGCTTGACATGGAGGTTTTGGGTACTAAGCTTGCAAATCCGAAAAAACGCTCAGACAGGTCGATTTTTATTGGGAGGGGGACATTTTTCCCCTTTTACAGCATCGTCACTTCAACCCCGGAACAGAGGGGTGAACAACCCTTGGAATTTTAATAGGGAATAGGGGGCGAGTCGCACATCTTTTGAAAGATCTTGGAGTTCTCTAAACAATGGTGTACATTTTTTAAAATTTTGACGTATTTAAAAGAGTTCTTTCCGATAATTAACTTTTTCAATATTGTTAATAGCAACAAATTGTTGTACGCCATTGCTCATTTGGAACTCTTTCATTCGTTTCTCAAGCTACTTTTTTGTTAATTTTTTTAGTTCTCTGATAAGAGGACTATTACAATTGAGAAATGGTTAAAAATGCTGTTCCTATTTCTCATTTTTATGTTAAAAGTGATATCTACATTACTACTAGTAGTAAGTGCCGTAAAGTGTTGCTAAAGAAACGATGGTTTACACAACTGCAGAGAGGGTTGAGTTGATTGAACTGCGACCCGCCCCCAGTTCCCTATTGAAATTCCAAGGGTTGTTCACCCCTCTGCTCCGGGGTTGAAGTGACAACGCTGTAAATGGGAAAAAAACTGTCCCCCTCCCAATAAAAATCGACCTGTCTGAGCGTTTTTTAGGATTTTCAAGATTAGTACCCAAGACCTCCATGTCAAGTTTTCGATGGCCCACCCTGTGTATTGACGTCAAACCAATACTAAGGTTTTAAATAATGTTTAAATAATCGATTTTGAACGATAGGTTATTCAGTTGTTGCGAAAAGAAAGATACTTACACAGGTAATAATAGTTCCAACGCTTGTATGGGTCTCAATCTGGTCCAATTGTGCAGCATCCCGTGTAAATCTGGTAACTGCACATATTCCCAGCTGTGAGCAGCTAGAAGAACCTTTGGTAGAGCTGCAGGAAGGTGATACAAATAGTGTCGTTTCTCCCAAAGAATCTGAAATAGTATTACAATTTTTCCCCACGATTTCAAATGCATCTGTTGATGAAAAACAAGTTGACTACGGATGCAATTCACCTTCTTAAAGGGTACTTCTTGTGCTGATATCAATATGGACTTGAACATTCACAATGTGGATGAGCAATACAGAAGAAATCAAAATATATCTAATGATTCCAGAAAATATTATTCTGAATGTGTTGAAACTTTGTACCAAATTTTGATAATTCGAAGTTTAAATAAGTTTCGTACACAGCATCCTAGTAATTCCATAATTACTTCTATAGGTAGATTCGTTCTCTCTTTCAGGTTCCCGTCTTCGGATAGCTTTCTCTGTACGATTTGGAGTGCTTCTTCGACCGAAACGTTGGTGTAAAGGCTTTCCACGTCAAAACTAATTAGTTGATCTTCCTGTGTGACCTCAATTGACCCTAGCAGTTCGACAAAATGCCTGGAATTTTCCACAAAAGACGATGTTTTTCCTTGTAATGGTTGTATTAAGGAAAGCAAAAATCTAGACAAGTTATGAGTAGCCGAATCTCTGGAGCTGATTATCGGTCTAAGCGGATTTTCGGTAGTCCATACAAGTGAGGGGGCTTACTGTGGTGCGGTGTTAGCGATGATCTTTCCTTGTCCGAAAAATAGACTTGGTGTTTTTTCAAAATCTGGTACAACTTCCTTTCGATTGGTGCAGTAGGGTCCCGTACGATTTTTGTGTATCGTCCCTTCTGAAGAACCTCTTCGATCTTCTGTTCGTAGAGAACGGTATCCATTACCACAGCAGCGTTTCCTTTATCTGCAGGTAGGATCTTGATGGTGCTGTCTCTATGTGGAAGTCCAAACTAGTGAAATTCATCATGAAACATTGTCAATCACCTTCAAACAAATGAATGAAGATGATTTCGATCGACGCTTGCAATTTTTCGAGTTGGTTAGTGAACGAGCAGTGGAAAATCCACATTTTGTTTTCAACATTTGCTTCAGTGATGAATGTTCTTTTTTTCTAGATGGCGCAGCTATATGCCATAATTGTCGCTATTGGGCTGATTCAAATCCTCACATTTTTCATGAAGCGCATACTCAACGTCCACAAAAATTACATGTATGGTCTGGAATTTTTGGTGGCCTTTTGTTTTTAGAAGGCAATTCAACCAGACAAATGTATCTGCGGCTCTGGAAGAAACTATTAATCCCCTTCTCACTGATATTATTGAAAATGACCACAATTATCGGGAGGATCTGTTAATATTTCAAAAAGATGGGGCTCCTCCGCACTATGCTCTGCCTGTTCGGCAGTATTTAGATCAGACTTTTCCGGATGACTGGATTGGGAGGCGGGGCACTATCTAATGGCCACCACGATCACCAGACCTTACGCCGTTAGATTTATTTCTGTGGGATCATTTGAAAAGCAGAATTTACTGTACTCCTCCTGCATCACTCGAAGATTTATGGCAACGAATCACAAATTAATGTTGCCAAATCACTCCAGAAATGCTCCACAATGTTCGAGAACGTTTCCAGCAGAATCTCTATCATTGCATGGAAGCTGGAGGTGCCCATTTTGAGCATATGCTAACATGAGAATAAAGTAACTTCAACTCTAAATTTAATATGGTCGGTCCAAATTGAAAAAAATGTACACCATTGTTTAGAGAATTTCAAGATACTTCAAACGATGTGCGACTCGCCCCCAGTTCCCTATTAAAATTCCAAGGGTTGTTCACCCCTCTGCTCCGGGGTTGGAAGTGACGCTGTAAATGGGGAAAAAACTGTCCCCCTCCCAATAAAAATCGACCTGTCTGAGCGTTTTTTAGGATTTTCAAGATTAGTACCCAAGACCTCCATGTCAAGTTTTCGATGGCCCACCCTGTGTATTGACGTCAAACCAATACTAAGGTTTTAAATAATGTTTAAATAATCGAGTTTGAACGATAAGTTATTCAGTTGTTGCGAAAAGAAAGAGACTTACACAGGTAATAATAGTTCCAACGCTTGTATGGGTCTCAATCTGGTCCAATTGTGCAGCATCCCGTGTAAATCTGGTAACTGCACATATTCCCAGCTGTGAGCAGCTAGAAGAACCTTTGGTAGAGCTGCAGGAAGGTGATACAAATAGTGTCGTTTCTCCCAAAGAATCTGAAATAGTATTACAATTTTTCACCACGATTTCAAATGCATCTGTTGATGAAAAACAAGTTGACTACGGATGCAATTCACCTTCTTAAAGGGTACTTCTTGTGCTGATATCAATATGGACTTGAACATTCACAATGTGGATGAGCAATACAGGAGAAATCAAAATATATCTAATGATTCCAGAAAATATTATTCTGAATGTGTTGAAACTTTGTACCAAATTTTGATAATTCGAAGTTTGTGAGTACTTCCTTAGGCTGGTTAACGGAAATTATTAGTTATGAACTTTCTCCCAAAATATTGTTTCAAGACAGAAATACGAGGACTGTTCAAAAAATAAGGTGGATNTGTTGTTATTCACACTTTGTTGAATATGTTTTTGTAGATTGGCTTTGCCAATGAATAAATGAATAAACATATGTTCGAGAGGAATGTACCAACTTAAAAAAAATCGCTAATTGAATGTAAGCATTCCACGAAATTTGAAAATCCACTTTATTTTTTGAACAGATCTCCTAGGTTCAATTATTCAGTTTTGTACTGAAGCATGATTCATCAAAAAATAAAAGTAATTTTAAATCACCTCTCGTATATCCGACGTAAACCTGTATAACAGATCCTGGTCACAAGCGTCCACTAAGAGCTGTTGCGTTTCATTGTCAAGACTGGAAAAATCTCCCTTGGTGACATCGTTGTACAAATCCGGAGAAATTGTAGGAAACTGTACTTTCGTGGGAGCGACGATTTCGATTCCAATCATCGGATGATCTGGGTCTGGATGGATTCCCATAGAAGGGGCAGGACCATAGATGTGATCGTTGATATAATTTGATTCTTTTGGCCAAATAGAAAGTAAGAGGCTACCTTGGGTCATCAAACTAGAGAAAAAATAACGAATCAAGTGAAGGTCAATATCAACGCTTGCCATTTTACTAAAACAACAGCAAAATATTAAACTGGCACTAATAATGACGGGCGACGCCATCTATGTGATCGACAAAGAACACAATCTACGAACATCATACATGAATGAGGTTCCTCAAGACGGCCAGTTGCAAAGACAAGCTTCTACATCGACAGCCGACAAGATTCGTCTTCTGTCTTCCACTGCAAGGCAACAAGTTGAAAACCTGAGACCAAACACGACGCATTTATGATTCAACAGCAGACAGCGCTGTATCGACCCACCATAGATCTTGTCAGTGCTGCTAGGCTGAACCACAAATGCATTGCTGGACTCAACTGTCCTTGATGGACAAGCCTGAGAGAGTAAGGGCGATGATGACTTCCCCTCCGAAAACGCCATCTATTGGATCGACAGGGAACTCAATCGTTAGATGTCAAAAATTAACGAGGCTCCCCAAGGAGACTATTGATGTGTATTTTTTGTAACGTTCATGACTAACCCTTCATAGTTGAAGAACTGAACAGCAGTCCAACCGATTTCTTCTTCCTTGTAAACGGGCATACTCGAATTCTTAGCTTCTTCGCTGTCAGAAGGGAGCAGCGTTTTACCAAACACTTGTAACACTAAACGAGATTCTCTAGCTAGGCTGTTTATCGATACATCTTCGAACTCCAACCTGGAAATGTATTGAAATAAATTACGTTTCATTGTAAAGGGACTATTTTCTAATCACCAGTTATCGAAAACAATCCTCGAAGGCCAATACTTGTCCCTCTCCACTTTTTTACTAGCTTGCGAACACAGCATACGACCAATTTTTTTGGTTCCGTGATATATTTGAGACGTTATATAATATTCCTCAAATTCTCTTTCAAATGACGGTCGAAGAATTGCGCATATCCTCGTTACAACTGAATCCATGATGTCGTGGACATATCTCACACCTGAAAAATAACCATCATGAAAACCGTATTGAAAAAGATAAATTTTTTAGAACACTGGAAAGAAAGAAATTAATTTATTCATTAATGGACCAACTACATGGTATCGAACATGTCAACTTATACTTATAAATATGTAAACAAACANATTTTATGACTTATTAAAAAATTCATTAGTCTATTGTACATTAGTCTTTCTGAAATTTTTGAAAAAATACTGAGAAGACTAATTGGTCTATAATTATCAATTTCTGATCTATTACCACTTTAATTTATGGCGATCACTTTACTCAATTTCAGCACATCTGGAAATTCACCTGTTTCAATAGACATATTGATCAGGTCAGTTAGGGGTTGCACCACACTAATGGAAACTAGTTTCAAAACATACACTATACATCAACATCATTTCAAGTAATCGTCTGCTTTTTTGATTCTGATGGGTTTGCAGATATATCAATAATAATAATTTATTTATTCATTAACGGGTAACACCCAATTAAGTTTAAGAGATTTCACAATAAATTATATGAATACAACAAATAATTACATCTAACTTACTTGCTAAAAGTAAAACTAATTTATTAATAAAGAATAACAGTGAGAAAGTCAGTTTCCACTCTACGACTACTTAGCTTCATTATATCTGCAACCTTACGAATATCATCTAATGAATGGTCCTTCAAGGGCATTTTTAACATGAACACCAACAATTTAAAAAATTTGTTTTGCACCCGTTCTATGTTAAGTGCAGGACTTTCATAAGTGGGTGACCAAATGGGACTGCAATAATCTAAGACTGATCTTATCAGGGTGAAATACAACAGCAGAGGTGGCTAAAGTATACAATGAAAATTATACAGCAATTCAATATAAAAATTATTACATGTTGAATAACTGCTATTTGAAAAAATCCAAAGTATTTGATAATAAACGATGTCAGTTGTGTCAAAAAGCTACTTAGCATCTCATATTACTATTATTGTATCATAATTTGATACACCGAAAAACAATTTAATTTTCCATCACTGTTCAAAAGGAAATGTGGCAGCTGTACTCACTTTCACTGGAGGTTGAATTTTTGACTTCGAAATCGACAGAATAAGCCTGGCAGTACATTTCAATAAGATTCTGGATGGCGAATCGAATTTTGTTACAGGTATCGCTTACTCCCTCCGAAAATGTCAGCCGCAAACTCTGAAATGGAATTTTTAATGAAAATCCACTATTTTCAAGATGATTCACTCACGTTTCCCGGAAAGTTTCTACAAGATTCCTCAAGAGCTTCGATCGTCTGCATTATATCTAGCGTGCAGAGGTCCCCCATCAAGTTGACGATATATTTGACTGACTGTATCACGTTCAGGGGTTGGAGTGTCGGCATGACAGACGGGGTGCTGCTTTGGTCCATCTGGAGGGCAGCTCCTTCCAATTTTTTCATCTCCTTCTCAACAGTTTCTAAAAAACAATAACATACTACTTTGTTCAAGAAGTGAGGTGAATTTTCTCAAAAAAATATTTATTTATTCATCTACTAATTTGTCCCTTTCAAAGTAGTCTCTATCAGATAAAATACACTTTTGACAGCGTTTTTTTTCAATTATTGAAGCAGTTCTGATATGCACTNCTGTTTATTGATTCTTCCAAAACTAGTTTGAAAGCTGTTTTATTACACAATAGTAACACTTATGCATCTATACCTGTTGGCCATTCTGTACATATGAAAGAGACCTATGAAAACCTAGAAATAGTGTTAAATAAAATTGACTATTTGGCTCATGGTTGGATGATATGTGGTGACTTGAAAGTAACTTGCATGCTTCTCGGTCAGCAAGGCGGTTTAACCAAATTTCCATGTTTTTTGTGTGAATGGGATAGTAGAGCAAGGGATCAATATTGGTGCAGAAAGAACTTGCCTGTGAGGGAGCTTTAAAACCCGGCGAGAAGAACATTCATATAGTTAGGTCTCATGGAACAGTTTGTAAATGCATTGCCTGAAGATGGACCTTGTTTCAAGTATTTCTGTTATAAATCTCTAAACCTTTCAGAACTTAAAGAAGGCATCTTTGTAGGAACCCACATTCGAAAAATGATGTTCGACGGAAACTTTGAAACCACAATGACCATACATGGTTACAAAATTTTTAGGAAATGCAAAAGACCCAGAATATCGTACCATTAGAGCTAACATGTTAAAGAATTTTAAGAAACTAGGATGTTTGATGAGCCTGAAAATCCACTTCTTGAATAGTCATCTTGATTACTTCCCGGAAAATTTGAAAGATGTTAGTGAGTAGCAGGTTGAGCACTTTCACCAAGATATTAAATTGATGGAAAAACGTTACCAGGGCCGCTGGAACATCAACATGATGGCAGACTACTGTTGGCCACTTCACCGTGAAGCTCAACAAGCGACTCATCGCAGGAAAAGCTACAAAAGAAACTTCAAAGAAAAAAGAGAAAGGAAGTATAAACCACTTCCATCTGACAAGTGAACCCTACATTACAACAGTGTATCATTATTTCAAGTAACCTACCATAAATAAAAACCATGAAAGTGATTTAACATAGTGTTTCATTAATTTTACCACATACCTTACAGATTTTAAATTACATAAAAAAATCAATTTCTCGAAAACTCTGGGTAACACAAAAAAACTAGACCAGATTTGGATTCAGCACACAAAAATCTATAAAAATCAGCTATTAAAGTAAACAAAGTTTACAAAAACATTTTATTTTGTTGGCCTGTGTAATCCTTATTGATGGTACGACCATGTGGCAAGAATTCCTGATATACTACGGCACGGTAATCGACGAAAAAAGTGGGCAAAACCTTATCATTTGATCGAACTTGGTTCTCTTGGGCTCTTCCATTGGGACAATTGGACTTTGATTTCGATGACATAACCATATCTAGTCTATACGAAGTTAATCCGAACAGCTAAATTGAAAGACTAATGGCATTACTCTTTATTTCTAATTAAAAAATCCTTGAAGGTTCATGAAATACAATTAATTTTGAAAAAAAAATTAATCTAAAGCAAATGAACTTTAAACGTTCAGGCCAGTCTCCATATACCTACACAGTAGGTTTAATGGACTGACGCCTATCAGAAAACAACTACTTCCTTGGCTTGTGCCACGCATGGCGTTGGATTATATCCGACAGGCGTCAGTGCAGGAATCTTCACAGAAAATTTCCTGCATATGCAATTGGCAATACAACTGAAAGAGTCGACCCTCAATTTTGTAATGGGCACACTTGCAGACCGGTTTCGGGCTTATTAGCCACTCATCAGTGCAAGATAGTGACNAATTTTTTTATCTTTTTCTACCTCAGAAAGGAATTCAACAGAAAGGAAGTAGATTACTGGAGAATAAGAGAGCAGATTGTCCTTTTCCTGGAAAAACTTTTTCCTTACTGAGAAGAAGGGAGACCTCTGATAATTGGATCTAAGATATCAGTATACAACTGTTGTAAAAATAGTATTTTGCCGAATGATTTTATGAAAGTCAACTTTCTGGTTATTATTATTAAAAAAATAAGTTAGGTTCCAGTAAAAATGAAACCTTGAATTGGAAGGTTACTTTTTTTTAACGGAACTGCTTCAAGAGAATTGTTCTCAGACATTTTTTTTTAACTTTTGGAACTTACTTCTTAAATTGTACACCATATTATAGAAGGCTTTCAAATCTGTATCCTTATTATCTGATCTATTGCCGACCTCTTCGATGATATTCAGAAGATTTCTCTGGAAAAAAGAGGCGATGTCATAAATTATCATTTCTCAAAAGAAAATGTATGTACCTTGAAATTTTTCGAACTCCTCCTGTCAATCGTAGACATTCGTGGGGGAGCTGGAGAATTGGGTGTGTTATCAGGTTTGTTTATGGTAGCGTAAATAGGGTCGCAGACACTATTATTACCCGAGCCGGAATAGATAAAGTCGTAGGGATCATATTCCTCGTACACGCTGTTACAAACTGACATAGCATCATCAACTGAAAAAATAAGAGGGACACTAAATATAAGAAGTTAAAATTGTAGAAGAAATATTTGGTATTATTGAAACATTATGAAACTTCAGCACAATCAAGTCAAAACATGAATGTTAAAGTCATTGTTACGCTTGAAAAACCATACAAATTTTTATTATTTTTCATTTTGAAAAATTTTTAATGACTCCTATATGAGGAATCTTTATTTTCTCTGAATTCTGATTTATTCTAATAAACCTTGGGTTGGTCGTGATTGGCCGTTGAAGACAGAACTTCGAAACTGTAAAGGAACACGTGAATGTCGCTAACATACTAAACTTTTCATTACATTAGGTATACATACATCAACAATAAAGTGTCTATTTTGCACAAGAGATGGCGTTACTAGTAGCACAAATAAGAAATATTTTTATTTTGATACATTATTCTAACAGAAACCACTGTGTGGTTTATGTTTGTGAGGTTGCAGTCAATTTTGAGGATGCCAGGGAGTAGAAAAAAACTCTTTGGCATTGCGTCAATCTTTCGCAAATGTTTTTTCCCTTCTTCAGGACTTACTAAAAAATTGCAGACAAATTAAAAAACACAGTTACAATTACATAGACCGGATGAGACTACTTACTATCGTGAGTTTGAGAGAAGCTACTTCCTTCAAAGCTTATCGGTCATCTTATGCAGAAAAACAGTATAGAAACATTTCAATTTCTACAATTTATGGAAAATTGCAAAATAGTTTTTAGTTTGTGTGTACCTATGTACACACAACATTTGAGAATGATTTGAGAATGATTTTATGAACCTAAACCGGTCATAACAATTAAAAATCTTAGTAGAAATCAGAAAAAAGTTATTTTCTTCATCCTATATTCAATTTGTGTGTGTTAAAATGTCATTCAGGTATTTATAACCGTGAATGAAATCTAAAACTAATCCAAATTTGAATTGAAGGGGTTATATTTTTGGGAGNGCCTGGTTATCAAGTTAGTATGCAAAGAAATACAATTTATTGACTCTCTTATAAGTAAAACTTGTGATGACGGGTCAGCTTTTCAACTTTCCATCAGGGGTAAAATTAGACAAGCCTCAAAAAATTTACATTAATTAGTTATCTGATTTCGGTGACTTTCATTTGGGTTTATTATCGGATTTAAAACTCTTATCCCTTTTTTGTTACTTCTGCTATAAAAAGTATCGTTTTTTGAGCAAAAAAGGTGTTCATCGCATTCAAGCCATTTGGTAGTACTATCATTTCAGTTTCATTTGTTGAGCTGATCAGCGATACTTACTAGAACCTACGGTGTAGGTAGTTGGGAAAGATGAATATTTTTAAATTTGATTTAGAAATATTCGAACAAATTTATTGATACTTAGGTAGATCAGTTTGCTGAAAATCTACTTTTAACTCACCTGAACAGTCCGGACTGATAGCCCGAGCGATTGATGAACTGTAGAATGACTCGGAAAGAGGGTCGAATTCCTGTAAAATGCTCACTCTCACGCTATCCCTATCGTCGGAGTGGGCAAAATCAATTAAATTCGGTGAAATGGAATCTGGCTTCCTCTCTGGCAATGAAGAAGTTTTCGAAGATATGGACGTTCTTCTTGGTATCACCAACGGCGGCGGAGGTCTACGTTGGTTTTTCGGCGGAAGAGCTGGTGGGCTCTACAAAAATTCATTTGCTTGTTTCATTTATTCCTTACATCATTACTCCAGGTATGTTTTGTGTCCAAATCAATGAAATTCTATCTGTAATCAGGTAGCCTCTCATTTTTCAAACTTATAATAATAATAATAATTCAATTCCCAAGAAACATACTAGGGATATAGGATATACAGTGTGTAACAACGAAAACTTAACAGAGCCGTTTTTGAATATAAAAAGATTAAAAAAAAAGCTCGGACACGTCGATTTCTAATTAAAAGGGGACACCTTTCAGACTAATCAGATTTTTTGTAGTACGCACCCCCTCGGAGGGGTGCGTCCGACGACCCTTATTTAGATAGGGAAAGTAGGTCGAGTGGCACCTTGTTTCAAAGGTCTTTTGAATACCTTTACATCTCTGTTAAAAGAAAATTTTTGTAACGATTAGTTTTCGAGATAATTTGAAGATTTAATGGTATTTTTATTGAGTTCAACTCTTTTTAAAATAAATCAAATTGTTTTTAAGGTACAATTTACGTTCAGAACTTTCATAAAAAAAAATGCTTTTTATGACAACCTGCTAATACGTGTCCATTTGATTTCATAAAAAAGTAAGAATTATTTGTTTGAGGAGATTTTTTCGGGGGATGGGATTGGTTACCACCCTTATATTTTAGGTAAATTGAGTGGCACCTCCTTATGAAGGTTGCCTTTTGACGTGGATATTTTATGCTTTTAATAAAAAAGTGAATCATACTAAAAACTTACCTACACAACGAATACAACCTGCTGATTTCCTTGAATGCTGATGACACAGAAAAGTTTAAAAAACTGTTTTAGGATTAATANTGTCCGAGCTTTTTTTAAAAATCTTACGTTTTATATTCAAAAAACGGATCTGTTGAGTTTTCGTTGTTACACACTAAAGAAAAGAACCAAAGGAAAGTTTTACTAATTTGCTCAAATGAAAGTTTACGGAATATATAAAATATCGATAAAAATAATATAATAGTTCATATCAGAAGATATTTTTTTAGATTTATTTTGCTGACATTTTTCAAAGAATTTGATAAATTATTATATAATCTAAAACTACTCATATAAATCGATTGTTTACCAATATTTGTTCAACAACCTAATATTTGACAACCGAATCATCTCTATATTTGAAACAACACACGGTTTTTTCACAACTACAAAGTTCTTTGAATTCAAAACCTAAATTGTTAATAGATGTTGTACATTCACAAAACTTTTCAATGAACTTATAATCCATTCACATGACAACACCAAACTTCTTTAATACTTTTCATGACAGACACGTGTTGGATGAAAACAATTCATGGAAATAGTCACTGCTGAATAATTGAGTTGTTTGTAACGTTTTTATCTCACCGGTTTAATCACCAGTACGAAAAGAAAAATATGTTCAGGTGCCAGTCAGAATGCATTGAATTCTTAAACTATTTCTCCTTTGCGGAACATTTTTTGAGGACAACTAAAATAAAAACGAAACCGGCGAAATATTTGTATTACACAAGTTCCGAAATTTTATTGATACCGTTGATAAGAACCATTAAACCTAAAGAGTCATTTATAAAGTGCTCTTCACCTGATATCAATATAGAGAAAATGAAACTGATAAAAGATATCTATAAAATTGAAAACAAATATATAAATACACAGTGTTCATTTGCTAGTATTAGAAAGTATGTCACAGTAGTGACAACATTCTTTAACGAAGAATTTCAAGTTTTTCAGCAGAGATTCGATTCTCACTTCAGGAATCGTTGAAAAATGTTTTTCTTAGCTTCAAACCACCACTTTTTCTTTTTGGTGTAAATTTTGCTCAAAATTTGTCTTTTTATTTTGAATGCTTTATTATTAGCTTCACCTGTATGCATGTATGTTTGTTACTCTCAAGCTCGAGATCTGTATTTGACAGAATTATCGACATTATTGCTTGATCTATTCGCGGACAGATGGCGCTGTACGTAATATCCTTGATATATCGGCATTATTGCTTGATCTATTCACGGACAGATGGCGCTGTACGTAATATCCTTGATATATCGGCATTATTGCTTGATCTATTCGCGGACAGATGGCGCTGTACATAACCTCCTTTTCAATGTCATTTCCTAAAATGTATTTATTTCAAATCTTATGGTATCTATCCAGATAGATACGACAATATTCAAAGAGAAAGTCTTGAGTCACACAGAAAACTATGTGGAGTAATTTTTCTATATAAATTACTGCACAGGTGAAATACAATTGTGCCAGCTTTTTCTCCAATTCTCGAAGTAGTTCTGACATGAACTTTTTGAAATATCTTTCAACTCTATCAGTGATTAAGTTTTTATCTCCACAATCGTCGCAAAACGCCGTACTTTCATGGATCTCTTCAATCTTGGGAACAGGAAAAAGTTGCAGGGGGGTAAATCTGGTGAATACGGTGGCTGTAGCATGATAACTGTGTTGTTTTTGGCCAAAATATCACGAACAAGCAGTGATGAGTGAGTGATGACTGATTTATTTCATTTTATTGACCATGTTCTTACATCCTCAACGTTCATATTAGGTTATTGTTATTTATATGCCTCTTTTTAGTTCATATTATCACTTACTTCCAGTGATTTTACTTTTGTGATTTCATTTATATGTTATTTATATTTCACACAAGGCTTTGTCGTTAAGAATTTATTCTTCAGACAGTAAAGCATATTTTTAATTGAATTGATTTGAACACTGATAATTTTAGAGGTTTCTAATGTGATGTCGTGGATAAAAACATTTTTTTGCGCTTACATTGCAAATGCTGGCTGAAAACCCAACAAGGTGGATCAAAAATATACTACAGTACTGTACACCTCAAAAAGGTCTGCAATGGTATATGTCTATCCCTTAGGGATAACCCAGAATAACCATTTTTTATCCTCGAAAAGTAATGGCTTATTTACGAAGCAATTTAAGCAATACAGCATTAATCCTTATCCAATTGAGTACCTTAAATACATTGTACATTTTATATAGATCAATATGGCCCTCTGCAGCATCTAATTTAAATGAATACACTCAAAGATAATACAGTTTTAAAATGCAGGGACGTGGCGGTTGCTGCGGTGAGGAGTCGGGACGGCTCGATAGTGAAGAATAAATCTATCTGACGATTTGCAATAAAAGTATTATTATCTTTATCATTATTCATCTATCTATAATCAAGCATACCTGCACTTGAGGAGGACGATACACATCCTGGCTGCTAACAGCTGCTGCTGGTACAATTGATCGATGAAAAGGCATCCTTGGAATGATTGGGCTGGACATGGAATACGGTATCCTAGGCACCGTAGGCTGGAAATAACTGAGAGGCGTAGGAATCACATTTGGTTGGGAAATATTTCTATAGAATGTTGGGTTTATGTTGGTGCTTATTGATGTCTGCGGCCAATATTTGAACTGTGAGGCCATTGGTGCTGATGTTACGACTAGTTGTTGCTGATTGTTGTAACTGGAGGAAAAAAAATTACCCTCAGATTTGAAAATCTATAAAGAATATCCAATGGTCTACGTTATTTCCTGATCACGATAAAAGCAAAAGGTTTACTGGGTCATATTAACCTTTTTTGAACCACAGAAAAGTGTACATTCAATAGATGAATTGTTTCATTAGAAAATATGTACAACTGAGTTTACTGTAGAAATTTTCAATATTATTGCTGCAGGTTAGATTTACGTACAAAGATGATTCTACAAGTATCACTTCTCAAATTTTCCCCAATAAATGTGTTCAACTGGGGCTGAAATAACACTTCAGCTGGCTCATAGTGAAGTTTCTCACCTTTGCTGTTTGCAGAAGTCGATTATGTCGGTGGATGGTGCTGGAACAGGGTTAGAAAAAGAAATCAAATCAGGTGGATCATCCACTGAGCTACTTTTCTTTTGTGAAGATGGAGGTGGAGCTAGAAGGGAATGTGTTGCGTTACTCGACTGAGCACCTGGTCGAGGTCTAGATTTGCTCTGCTGTCTATCAAATCTGATTTGTCCAGAATCTGTTTCATTCATTGACGCTGCTCTTGTCACTGAAAGTAATTGAAAATCTAAGACGTTTGACTCGGTGGTATATTTCGTTCAGTATCTTCTGAACATTCAGGATGTGGGTCTGCATAGAACATATTCCACTCACCTGAAGCAAGTTTTGGTCTACTCGGAACAGATACAGAAGTAGCTGACCTATTCAGTTCTTGGATCTTTTTACTTTTGAATTGTTCCAGAGCAAGAGATTCCAAACTGAGAGCTTGAGCTCTTTCCAAATCTTCTTGAAACTGTTTATCGTAATCAGCCATTTTTTACTATTTTATCCCAATGCAATACAGGTAAATTAATAATTGTACATGATAAACAAATTTTGTGTAAACACAAAATTTTGATGGTTGAAATTCAAAAACAAATTACTCATAACATGGATGAATATTGACAACAGTAGTAACTTTTGTATAGTTAGCAGTTTTCCTGTAAAACATATTATTTAACAAACATTTCATTGATAATATAATTATTTCCAATAATAGGCCTAACCTTAAAACAAACGTCAGTGTCACTTGTCAAAAGTGTCAAAATCAAATCAAATTAATTTAAAGCTAGAGTGGTCAAGGGCATTTAACATTTCTTATATAGGATTGCTCAATTTGGTCAATGTATCATACAATAATTGTGACGTCAATTCCTAAATTTCAAACGTCAAATACATTTGAAACATGATCATAAAATTTTTGCGTAAATAATTCAACTGTCTACAACTAGCTGGCTGTATTGTCAATAACTATTTTATGAAATGTAATTTAGATTTATCACCAATTTTTACTTTTCAAAATATTTCAGTTATTCAAGAGCTCTTCAAATTTTGTGTATTCGAAATATATTTTTAGATCAATGCAATTTTTTATGAAGGTATACCTACTTTAAATATATCCACATGACAGGGTTTCATAGCAGAGAAAAGCATGCGTTATAACTTAATATGCACGTTTTATCCTTTTGAATAATTAATACAGCGCAAGAAATTTGTCTAATTGCCTTTTCTTCGTTTGAAAATGTCCGTATAGGACGAAACTGCAGTAATGTTGGTTACAAATACAAGTGATGGTATAAAAACATACGAAATTTCTTTTCTCAATATTCAATTTGAGTAAAGTCTACAATGCGATCTCGATTTGAACTTGAATCTAAATAACTTCTCTCAAACATCATCGCATGTCGTGTTTTGTGAATATTTAAGGAAAACTCAACTATAGTCATGATTAATGAATAATTATAATACAATCGACTTCAGATATGATATTATCAGTAATGATAGGAAATGTCTACCTCCAGATAAAAACAACAATAATATCAATCTCTGTTAGGTTCTCTCTGTGAAAAATTATCCACCAGATATCGCTAGGAGTTTGTTTTACGGAAGGTCTAAAAACTGGGCATTTTATATTTTGTATCATGAAGAAGTGAAAAAATATTTACAATCCATTGTCTTAGGTTCCCTCAATCAATATTACAAAATCAAACCAAAGAGCTGCTTTATCATAAGATGATTTAATTTTCCATAATCAGTATTTCGACTTTTTTATGCTTTTTTTATAAACAAATGCGAGAGTTTCTGATTTCCTGTTGTAGATTTTGCAGTGCTTTCTTCTCTACCATTTTAATTCTATTGGTTTGGCTAACTCGCTTTCCATATTGCTGTCTCCGTCTCAGTAACTCTAACTGAAAAATGAATTCCGTTTATCTACAGTACGTTAATCTGGCAATGAATTGATTTTGTAAAGGTGAGCAAACTATTTTTCATTCATCCATGAGCAGATGCGGGACTTTGAGATGAAAATTTACACAAACGTATATTGTACTGGTTTCTATAATATACAGGGATTTTTAACGTCTCAGTCCTGAGACTCAAAAGTTGAATAACATGCTTATATTAAAAAGTAACTGACGAATTCTAAATTAAGTTGTAAATAAATTCACCATTTCACGTACCTTATCTGTAGGAATTTCTGGACCCAATTTTCCCAGCTCGGGAATTTTTGTCGTTATAGTTTGAGGGGATCTACATTTTCGTTTGGGTTTGACGGACTTTTTTTCTGGAACATTTTTCAATTTCATTTCTGAGTCCGGGATAGACAGAACCAATTCGGGAATCTCTCTCAGCGTAGAATGGTTATCCAAGCTGCAAGTGAAAAATATTATGTGAAGCAAAATACCTTCGGAAAACATTGACTAGAAGGTGAAGAAATAAATTAGTAATTGAAAACTTTGCTCTTCGTGGAGTATAAAGGTTTGATGGGACGGTAGTCGGTTGGCTAGGGCAAGCAAATAATCAAGCAAGCAATCAATCGATGGCTAGGTGGAAAAGTGGCATCATGCAGCCCGTGCTGAAGATCGCATGTCAAAAAGTATGACTTCGTGCATCCTAAGCTTACCCAAGTTTCGACTTCTGAGGGTTGTCTATCGTTGGTGGTGACAGCTGGGCAACGAAAAACATGTAAAAAATAAAAACAACGTACCTTGAATCTGATGTTTCTTCAAATTTTAGGTACAACGAATTCACTTCAAATTTATCAGAGTCAACAGAACTTCTCGAGGTTAAATTCAACCGCTCCATTGCACATCTGCCAGGTGATTTTCTCAACTCACCTACACCAGCGTTAGTTTTTGCAAGAAACATACTCAAGTAGGAGTTACTTTTCAATTTACCATCGTTTTCAGAAGTCTTCTTCAGTGACTTATTTGCGGTTTTTTTTCCAGTCAGTACAGCGCTACATCTCGAGGAACTTTTACTCAAATTTATTTCGCTCCTACTCAAGTCTTTGTCGTAGAAAGGAATTATATCATCCGATTTGTCCGTGGGGGGGTTCAGGTGCTGCTGCTCCTTGTCTATTGAGTTATCTATACTATCGTATTCCGAGTCATCTTCTAAAGAGTCGTAAAATTCTTCAGATTCCATTTGAAATTATTAATCAGATACTACGAAATATACCAACAAAATGAATTTGTCACTGAAAATGCCAAAAAAGACATTTTAGCATTTTTGACGTATGCTTCGTAGAAAATTCAATTCTGTTTTCAGATGGTACATATTTTTTACAAGTTAGTAACTTGAAAAACTTGCGGTTCATTTTCTACCAAATGATACGGTTTCTACTTGCTTAATTTCAAATCTGCAAGTATGAATCTTGGATATCATGCAAAATGAATCAACTCGCAGGAAGCCTATATGATCAATAATAGCTGAAATAAGTTTATTAATCGCGACTCAAGAGATGGATCCCCTATATCTTTCAAAACCTATTTGGATCAACCTGTTTTGGTCAAAACCTTGGAGCAACCTTTCCACAATATCATTTTGACTTGAAAGACATGAGACAAATAAAAACTGTTTCATAACATCACTATAATAAGTGCCAGTAATGTGAAGAAAGGCCGAAGTCACTTCCGTTTCTCAAAATCAGTGAAGAATGCAAAACACTGACCATTCTTACGTCTATTAAATTGTATATGGTACGGAATGATATGCAGAGGCGTTCAAACTCTCACTAGTATGCATACCAACTGAAAACTTAACAAAATCAACATTGGTAGAACTGGTTAATAAATAAAGTGTGTTCTCATTTTGTAGATATCGAAGGAGCTCAATATACACGCCTAACTAATAAAGTGTCTATTTTGCACAAGAGATGGCGTTACTAGTAACACAAATAAGAAATATTTTTATTTTGATACATCATTTTAACAGAAACCACTATGTGATTTATGTTTGTGAGGTTGCAGTCAATTTTGAGGATGCCAGGGACTAGAAAAAAACTCTTTGGCATTGCGTCAATCTTTCGGAAATGTTTATTTCCTTTTTCAGGACTTACTAAAAAATTGCAGACAAATTAAAAACACAGTTACAATTACATAGACCGGATGAGACTACTTACTATCGTGAGTTTGAGAGAAGCTACTTCCTTCATAGCAATCAAAGCTTATCGGTCATCTTATGCAGACAAACAATGTAGAAGCATTTCAATTTCTACAATTTATGGAAAATTGCAAAATAGTTTTTAGTTTGTGTGTACCTATGTACACACAACATTTGAGAATGATTTTATGAACCTCCTTTTGTTTGACGATACTTCTAACATATCCTTCGGCCTTTTTCCATTTTTCCCTTGATGTTAACATATCCTCTACCAAGTTGTCCGGAGTCATGTCCCTCCCCGATTCCACTTCGTAGACGTGTCTCTCCCTCATCCATCTGTTGCATTTGAAAATCGTGTGCTCTACATCGTCTATCTCCTCACAGTATATACAGAGGTTGTCGGTTGCTTTGCCTATCCTATTGGTGTACATTCTGAAGGATCCATGACCCGTTAGGAATTGGGTAAGGAAGTAATCCGTTTGCCTGTGGGGGCACTTCAACCACTCTCCTACGTTTGGGATCAACCTCTTTGTCCATTGGGCTTTTTCCTCGTTTGTCTCCCATTTTCCCTGCCATTCTTCTAAAGTTTTGAGTCTTTCCTTTTCTTTCATAGTAGTTGTGACGGCGGCTCCAGACTCATCCAATCTTCCCCTTTCGTTCACCAGTAGGTCGATGGGGGGTATTCCAGCAATCACGCAGAGGGCTTCTGCTGATACTGTCCTGTAGGCTGACGTCACTCTCAGTAGAATTTTTCTCTGAGATGCCGTTACCATCCTTTTATAGGTGTCAACTCTCATAACGCTTTTCCACACCGGTGCTGCATACAGAATGACAGATTGTACTACCCCATATATTAAGCGTCTCTTTTGCATTCTTGGTCCTTTCATGTTAGGTAGGAGCTTGGACAGAGCAGTTGTATGTCTGTCCGCTTTTTCGCATGCCTTTTTTGTGTTTTCATTAAAGATGAGTTTGTCGTCCAGCCAGACGCCCAAATATTTGACGAACTTTTTCGGTCTAATAATTGAGCCGTCCAGCTCAAAGACAATCTCTTCCCTTTTCCTAGGCCCTTTCACAATAATAACAATTAAAAATCTTAGTAGAAATTAGACAAAAGTTATTTTCTTCATCCTATATTCAATTTGTGTGTGTTAATAAATTTTTCTAAAAAAAATTATTCATTCATCAATATCTATCTACCAGCAGGTTTTGAAGGCTGGCTTATATTTAGCTGCAAAACAATGGACAAGTATATATTTGGGTCGTTTTCTTGCGAAAGGTTTTTTTGAGTTATGCTTTGGAGGTTTTGGCTTTCTACTTCTGAACCTTCTAAGTATCACGACCAAACAAATATAATTCCAGCTGGGCATGAACTCTGGGGAGTTGATTCTGTGGGAGTCGGGATGGGAGTCGGAATAGTGATTAATATTCCGGAGAGGTGCTCCAGGTTCAGGTGAAAACACCTAACCCCTTGCCTCTCATGTAGACCTACTGCTTACTGTCATCTTCTAGGCACTCCTCAAACTGAACTTGTCATCCTGTCGTCTGCCTCTTTATACGGTCAGAGCGTCTTAACTCAGGTATTTCTTATAGACTGATCG